TTTTTTTTACGACGGCAGAGCGAAAGTACGAATGTGTCTTATGCGAACGAGCACGGGATATATGAGCGTAAGAATTGTCCGCGTTTTGTTTTTCCGTGTTTTGGGAAGCTCGTTGCTTGTGGCATTGTTTTCTTCTTTTTTTTTTTATTTTTTTCTCGTATGTTTTGCGACGAGAAATCGGCGGAAGAAAGAACCCAGAGGAACTGGATCTCTGGTCTCTCGCGAGCGGACGCGCGAGGATCCAAACGCGAGAGAAGGCACGAAACGAACGCGCGAAAGTGTTCTGTTTCCAATTTTTTTTTTTTTTTTTTTTTTCTCGTGGTCGAAAAATTCCGTGTGCGTGACAAAAAACCGCGTTCACTACGATGGGTGCGAAGAACTTGTCGGAAGAACTTTGTGAACGATGTGAGATTCAGGATGAAATTGATGATGCGTGACACGTTGGGTCGGAGGCCCAAGGAGAGTCGAGTACAGGAGAGAGGGTAGATCAAAAAGAAAGGAAAGAAAAGATGTCAATAGATGTTTTGAAGGGAAGAGAGGAAAAGTTATTCGTGGAGGATAGAGCCGCGTTTTTTATTTTTCTAGCGACTCTCTGACAACATAAAACCGGACGTCGTTTGGTCCCCTCCCCGCCCCCTCCCTCCCCCGCCTTTTTTTACCTAGATGCCTAAAGGACGTGTGAGTGAGTGTGTCTGTATGCGAGCGAGAGGAAAAAAGTAAAAAAAGAACGACGAAAAAAAAAAAACAAAATACAATAAAATTAATATGATGAATTATGTAAACGTAGTATCGATAGAGTTTGTTTTATGTGTGACGTGTGTAGGACAAAGTGTAATTCGATATTATAGTATATTCTTTTTTTTACTGACCAAAATTTATACGCTTAGAAACATTTATACACTCTATGTGAGAGTTGATCGTAATTTACGTACAAAGAGGAATGATAACAAAAGAAAAACAAAAAAATACGAAAAAGATGCAAATAAAGGACAAAAAAAAAAGAAAGAAAGAAATTTACGGAAGACGTTCAAAGACGACGTAGATGGACGAGCTTTAGACAGTGTCGTGTGACGTGATTATTGTTTAGGTTTTGCTTTTCTCAACGACAGCGTCGATGTCATTTTTTGGTTTTTCTTCTGTTTCTTTTTTTTTTTCTTAGCGTAGTCAAAGAAAAAGAAAAAAAAAAAATATATGAAACGTTTCATTTCCACGAGAACGATACGCGTAAACCATTGATCGACGCTCCTCGTAAAAGCGAGTCACATCGCGACGACGATTCAGCATAGTTTCCTACAAGAGTTGACGATTTTTCCTCCGAAGGATAATAGCACATAACGTAGCGATTTAACCACTTAGCTCTGAGTTGTGGCATAATTCGCGCGAACACCAAAACCCACTGTATATTAGACGAATCAACTATACTAACGAGATCCGTGAACGTGAATTTCGCGATCGAACGATCCAACGAGACTCCTTCTTTGTTTTTTCGATTACAATCGATCGCGCGATTGTATCTCCGCTTCTTTCTTTTCTTTTTCTCGAATCGTCGTCGACGCCGATCCACGACGGTAGATACTGCTTTTGCAAACACGAACGTGAGCGATCCGTAGAGACTCGTCGCCTCAACGTTCTCTTTTTTCTTCGGCAGCGGAGCTCGACGACGATGAAACGGACAGCGAACGAGAAGGATGGAACAGGCGAATTTCGTTGATCGTTCGGCGAAGCACGCGACCGGATTCGCACCCGTTTCGTTTCTCGTCTCCCTTGTGCTCACCGCTTGTGGAAAAGAAAAAACAAAAAAAAAAAAAAAAACAACGCGGAATAGGAAATGAACGAATAATCGACGATTCGAACGTCGATAAGATGGTATCAGCGTCTGTTTCATAAAGGGATGGAGAAAAGGATTGAAGAAAAAAAAAGGAGGAAAGAACGATAAAAATAAGAAAAAAGAACGAGTATCGCGTATGTAATCCGAGAAAGTGTAACGCAAAATAGATATATGATAATATTACATACTATGCATACAATTGTGATCGTGAGAGTATCTGTTACGAATAAAATAAAATTACGAATAAACCACGTGACTTTTTTCCAAGCTACTTCGACTCGTGTGCTTTGAACCTTTGCTACCTTCTGTGTTACGATCGATCCTAAAGAGTATCATAAAAATCAAGTAAAAAGACACGCCGAATATATTGGCTAACACCAGAGTGAGCAAGATTGAATAATCGAAAAATACTCTCGAGTATACTGTCGAGTTCACCCGAGATCTTAGGTAAGGTATGTGTCGTTTGTACAATTGCCAGTAGAGTTTCCTGTTAACAAAAATTCCTTTATTTCCTTCATTTAAATAACAGCTCGAAACTTCTCAGTTCAACGTAAGTTACAGCGCTCTCGTCGAGAGAACTTGTCTCTCGGAATTCGCAAAAAATCAGCGTATCGACGGGTATCGACGGGGCGGGAAACAAAACTGCTCGACACTCGCAACTGTGTTTTGAGGCGCAACTATCGTATATTTCGTATTTATGATACAAACGAAGATCGTGATCAGGGGTCTAATGGTGGGGAACGTAGTTCTGTCCGTTTTGGGGACAACCGGGTAATAAGCTCGACGTGTCCTCCTCCGTGGAGCACAGCATCCCTACGAGAGTGTAATCAACGAAAGGCGGTAGATCCAGCTCGCTCACGTCGCCATAATTATTCATGGCCGATTGCGCGACTGTCGGATTCATGGGCATTTGGGGCAACCGTGTGTCGAGTACCTCGCAAGTGTAATGACAACGATCGTTACTTGGATAGAAGAAAGGTTCCGGACTGTTCTGCGCTGGCATGGTCGCCTCCATGCCGTTCGAATCTGGGAAGAGTCTCTCGGCCGAGTCAGGATTCGTTTCACGGCCATAATTATTCTGCAATCTCTCGTCCAGAACCATCCGGTTCGTGGTCTGATTAGGTCGATTGGTTAACTGATTCTTCCCGTCCGACTGCTCGAACATCTGACTGTAGCCGTCAGTGTAGGAATAATGTTTGTTCTCCATGGGACTGCGACTAGGGCGTAAAGGATCCACCATTCCGTTCTCCTTTTTAGAATAGACGTTGTAATTCTCTGGTTGACAGTTCTCCTTAGGGTAACAGTTCATGTCTCTTCTAGGCGGCAATAGATCCTCTTCTTTGTGAGGGTCGAAGCCAGGGAAGTTCAAACGATCGTCCTGATGGCTCTGGGCCCAATAGCTCGCCTCTTGATCGTTCTTCACCGGCCCGTCCACGAAACTCTTGTGACTCTGGTGTCGTTGGTAATCCTGGAAGTTCAATGGATTGTTCAAGTGGTGATTTTGGTTCACTTCCTTGTTGGAAACGAAATGGTTCACGGGTCTCTTGACGCAGAAGCCATTGGAGTCTTTGTCCGTCTCGAAACCAGGGAACTGAAGTCGGTCGTCTTGGGGCATGCTCAAGTGACTGCTGCTGGAATCTTCGCTGAGAAATTGATTCCAATATCCCTGATCCTGATGCTGTTTCATCTCGTATTTAATCGTGCCGCTTCCAAGATCGAGCAAGGTAGGCGGCGATCTAGCCACTTCTTGAGAATTCATCGTGAACTCTGGTCTAAGGGGTTGATCCAGCTGGAAGATCTCCTCCGGCTGGAGCAGTTCTCCGGTGAACGAGGGAAAATCGGGATAGGAGGCCTCGTGGGGCACCTGGTTGGGAAGATTGTACCCCAGAGCGTTCTCTTGGGATGGCACGGTGTCTTGGAGCCAGTAGGGGGTGTCGTTCGGGGCTGTTTGCTGAGGATACATGGTTGTCTGATGATGATGAGATTGCTGATAAGCCGGGGCGTTAGTCTGCAGGCCACACATGCATTCAAATGGCGGGCAGGAACAGGAGTATCCTGAAAGAGAAGAAGATGTTATTAGAACGTTTATTATTATTGAAAGATAGTAATAAAATTATAAGATTAACATAAAAAAAAATTAAAAGATCTTATTAAAAGATAGTAATAAATATTAAATAAAGTAATAAATATTAAAAATAAGATTATAATAAAAAAAAGATTATAAAAATATAAGATTAAAATCAAAAATTATAAAAATATATATAAGATTAAAAATAAAAAAGATAAAAATATAAAAATATAAGATTGTAATAAAAAAAAGATCATAAAAATATAAGATCAAGATTAAAAGAAAATTAAAAGATCTTATTAAAAGATAGTAATAAATATTAAAAATATTAAAAGTAACAAATATTACGGTAAAAATATATTATACAATACAAAAAATGGTAAATATATATAAATGGCATACGAATTCCGTATGTATTTTGAAATCAATTCATTCTTGCTTTTTTAAAAAATCAGGCTATTGGTACTTTATATAAAATTTATTTGATAAAGCAGTGACTTTTCCAAAAAAAACTTCTCAAATAATAATAATAATAATAATAGTAGTAACAATGTTCATTTACAATTGAAAAATAAGTAGAATGTTCTCTCTGTCGTAGAAAATAAAAACATGCTAAAGAAGCTGCGTTTAAATTCGTAATTTGAATTTACGAGCGCAATATAACAGACGCTGGCGCCATCAGGCGGAAATGGTAGTTACTATCGGCGCGAGAAACGGTCGCGGCAAACGGTTTCACGCAGCGTCGCGAAATTTCAATTTAAAGGTGAATTTCCTTCTCAAATTCGCAGAATGATCGTGAAAATCCATAAATGAATGTAGTGTAACGCGGAACGGGTGTGGTGAAAGCATTTCGAAATAAAACAACAATTTACCTTTGTCCGGTATTAGTGGCGGCGGTTGCGTCGTCCTTGGCGGTTCGATTGCTTCCGAGTTTGGTCTTTTCGTTCCTCGTAGTGACATTAACTGAAAAGAAGCACGAGAATTCATCTATTAATCGTGTTAAAGGAATTGAAAAAAGGAGAGAGCCGGCCTGTCGAGTCGTTTGTCCAAGCTACCTGTCTCGGTGAGTCTCTTGCACGAACTAATCGTTCAATCGTTCGAATGTTTGAATATTTCAAATGTACTTTTATCGACAGTATTGTGTCTATCTACATTTTACGTTCGGTATAAATTTCGTAATAGTTTGTGGTAGGAAATGTTCTTTATTGAGTCGAGGAAACGAAATTCTTCGACGAACTCATGAAAATTTGGATGATTTCGAAGTATTGCAATGGTAGTGCAATGACAAATGTTTTATATATATACATGTATATATACTGTACGTTGTTTGTAGAGAAACATGGCGGCAATTTGAATACGACAAGAAGTGAAGTATTAAGAAAATACTTTATATTTTCCATTTTTTTGTTAAAAAAATTGATAAGTTTCAAAAATTTTCCATTTTATATATATACATATATATATATATATATATATGTATATATATAAAATACAAAATTTTTAATATATATATATATATAAATTTATGTTATAGCTATAGTAATATATATAGTAATATATATATAGTAATTTATATTATAGTTATTTCCATTTGTTTGTTAAAAAAAATTAATAGGTTTAAAAAATTTTCTATTATATATAATTATAAATATATATATTAGTAATTTATATTATAATTATTTCCATTTGTTTATAAAAAAAAATTGATAAGTTAAAAAAATTTCTATTATATATAATTATTAGTAATAATATATATAATTATTACTAGTAATTTTATATATATATATATATATATATATATATATATATATATATATAAAATTATTACTAGTGTATATTGCATCGTCTCGATAGAATTTAAAATTCAAGTTTTTTACAACTACAAAATGCCGTTCTTATGAATCTTTTCTATTTTATTCGAGCCTGTAACGATCCGCTTTTATCATTTTCCTTTTTTACCCATGTATGTATTTATTTTTTCTTCTTCTGTATTTCTTCGTTCTGTTCCCGTTAGTCCCGAAAGATAGCAGCACCTACAATGGCTGTAGGATCATACGAATAGGGGATAGTTCTCAATCGAAATTCAACTGAATTGAAATAGAAAACACGAAAAAGTATTCTCTTTTTTTAAATGCAAAATTAATATTCTAAATCAACTGTTTCATTCTTTCGCCATCGAATTTCAAAAATAATCAAGAGATAATTAAGCTCGAAATTCAAAAGTATTTATTCCAGTTTTTTTTTTTTGGAATCGATAGGTAAATTATTCGTAAACGTACTTTGGAACCCAAAGCAGCCTCGTTCGCCAGAAGAACTGCTAGTCCGCGCACCCTTCGGCCGGCACCCACGCTTCTCCTCGCCTCGGATGTAGATTTCGCTTCCGGTCGTGGATGGTCGTGTTGTCCCTTGGCTTGGAAGAATATCGCATGCTCAGTGTGTCGCCAAAAATGCGTCACTGGATAACCGCAATGGCCACGACACGAAAGTATCTCCAGCCGACCGGTGCATTGTCTGTTCGGGCATGGCTTTCCTTGTTGCTTTTTCCTTGCCTGGAAGCATTGATCCTTTGAGTCTCATATTCGAAAACAATGAACTCCGGATATCGAGTGGATGTCAGTCAATTAGTTTAAAAATTAGCGCAAGATCATTAATTAACACCTTTAAGAATTTTGAACTCAATGATTTTAGTTGATTAATTGTTTATTTTCAAATGTTAAATGCTAGGTATTAAAATATTCTTTGATTCGCAAGTATCGAACGGGTGTAAATTATTTTGAATTTGATAGGTTTGAATTTAATGATTCTTCGTTTATTTTCAAATGTCGAATGCCAAGTTAAAGTATTCTGTTGATT